AAAAAAAAAAAAAAAAAAGACCTGAGGAACACCGGAATAGATTGGAAGATTCAGAAACAACTCCAGATGTACTCAGCTACCTCGTCTTCCACAAAGGAGCCAACCATCCTCAGTGGAGGAAAGATAGCCTCTTTAATAAATGGTGTTGGAAAAACTGGATTTCAGCCTGCCAAAGATTAAAACTAGACCCCTATCTTTCACCATGTACTAAACTAAAATCCAAGTGGATTAAAGATCTAAATATTAAAACTAAAACACTAAACTTGCTGGAAGGTAAGTTAGGCAGAACTCTTGAAGACATTGGTGTAGGAAAAGACTTTATGAACAAATCTTCAGTAGCACAGGAACTAGCACAAAGAATCAACAACTGGGATCTCATCTTATTAAAAAGCTTCTGCACTGCAAAAGAAACCACCGATAGAACTAAGAGACAATCTACAATGTGGAAAAAAATCTTACCAGCTGTTCCTCAGACAAAGGACTATTATCTAGAATATATAAAGAATTAAAAAAAATCAGACCTCTCAAATATAAAGACCCAATTCAAAAATAGGCATCTGAAATGAACAGACATTTCTCAGATGAAGAAGTAGAAGCAGAAAATAAATATATGAAAAAATGTTCAGCATCATTGGTCATTCGAGAGATGCAGATGAAAACAATACTGAGATTCTACATCAACCCAGAAAGAATGGCTGCTATCAAGTAATCAACCAATAACAAATGTTGGCAGGGTTGTGGGGAGAAAGGAACCCTTCTCCACTGTTGGTGGGGGTGCAGACTGGTGCAACCACTGTGGAAATCAATATGGAGATACCTCAAACAACTAGGATTGGAAGTTCCATTTGACCCAGCTATCCCTCTGCTGGATATTTTCCCAAAAGAAGTAAAAGAATCATACCACAGTGATATATGTGCACCCATTTTATAGCAGCACAGTTCATAATAGCTACAACTTGGAAACAGCCTAATTGTCCTTCAGTTGGAGACTGGATAAAGAAGATGTGGTTTTTCTATAAAACATGAGAAAGTAGAGTCATTCATAGGAAAATGGATGCATATTGAGGCCATACTCCTAAGTGAAATAAATAAGACACACATGTATAAATACCAAGTAATTTCTCTGGTATGAAAAACTAAAAGTGTAAATAAGTTTCAAACTGTATAACTGAAAATGTGAAATAGGAAGAAAAGGGCTAAAGGTGTAGGGAAAGTGGAAAGGGTAAGGGGAAAGGAAAGAATGGAAAAGAAAAAAATATGAGAAAAGGAAAAAGTGGAAACAAAGTCTTTGTAAATAGGGAAAGGTGGAAGGGGTGAAGAGAGGGCAGGGGGAATGGGGAAGAAATGAGAACCAAGATAAATCATGTAATGGTATAAGATCCCAATGATGAATGTAACTGTACTGTATACCTAAAAAGTACCAAAAAACTCAATGAAAAAAAAAGCGGCTATATGACTAATGGACTCAGTTTTGAATAATCAAAATTTAAATTTAAATAGACACGTGGATAGTGGTGAGTGTGTTGGACAGACATACCTTATCCCAACCCAATTCCTTCTGTGCCAACAGATGTAATTAGCAACAGTAGTGTCTTCTAACTCTGAGAATGGCAACCAATAGAACATATATTCGGTGATCAGGTGGCTCTTGTACAACTTTGCATTTCTAGGCTAGGCTCAGTAGGATCATGGTGGTAGGCTAAGTCCATCAGGACAAATGATGGAGGATTCCATGAAAGATTTCTTCCAAAGTATCAGCCTAGGCCTTTTATAACAAAATGTGAAGACAATTCCTGGATTCTCTCAAATGTGAGCTACAGAATGAGTCAAACTCAATAATCTTCCAGGGAACCAAAAATACTAGTTATGGAGAAATATCCCTGGGATTGAAGCTAGCAGCAAAGACCCAGAGAGCTACAGAGCATGTTATCTTTTTGCTAGGGCCATACTGTAGCTTGGGAAGAACACAACTATCTGTTCTTTGCCAGCCAAGGCTTCAGAGCTTTGCAGGGCTGGTGCTGGTGGCAGCCTTAACCTCATCAAGAGTGGTGCCCAGAGAATCAGTTGTGGAAAGTGACTCAGTCTTTGTAGTGACTGTTTCATGGATGCACACCTGCCAAAAATGTCATCACTCTCTGATACTTAAGCAACAAGTCCTCATTCAGTCAACCAGACTTCTTGATGGTGGGAGGGGTCTTATGGAAAAGGAAATTTGGGGGTGGGCTAGAAATCTCAGGGTGTCACTGTAGAAGGAGAATCAAAGAGAGGACTAAGATCAAAGTCAGAGATATCTAGAAAGTTGTAAGGCCACCCTTAATAGAAACTAGGAAGTCTACAGGGACAGGATAGAGCCTGACATACTAGCTTCTTAGGGTTTCTATAACAGAGTAGAAACAAGCTGGGTGGCTTAAAATAGAAATTTATTGTCTGTTAGGGTTAGGGTTAGAAACTAAAAGTCAAGATGTTAGCAGGGCCACACTTTCCTTGAAGGCTTTAGAGGAAAAGTTCTTTCAGGCTTTCCCCTCAATGTCTGATGTCGCTAACAATCCTTGCCATTCTTTGGTTTTAAATTCATTGTCTCTACTTCTGCTCTCAACAATATTCTCCCTGGGTTTCTGTGTCTTTACATGGCATTTGCTCTGTGCATGCCTATCTCTTTTTTCTCTTCCTACAGAGACCCGAGTCATATTGGATAAGGGCTCCCCCTACTCCAGTATAACCTTATCTAAACTAGTTGCATCTGTGACAACCATTTTAACAAATAAGCTCAGATTCTGAGGTTCTGGAGTGACACGGATTGTTGGTTGATACTGTTCAACCTAGTATACCTGGGTTTCCTCATCTACCATTATCAGCAATTTTATTTCTACAACTGTACACTCCACATATATTTTTAATTCCCCCTGGTAGCGTTTGGCCATTGCAATGCAGTTCTATTAAAAGCTTCTTGGATACAGCTTCCCGAAAAATTTCTTTCCTTTATTACTTGAGTATTTCCAACATCATCTACTTTAAGGGCAAAGAACAGATTTTATATTTTGTGCCGCTACCCAGCCTCGATAGCGCAAGGTCCCAAGTTTGGTTCCCTGTTAAAAAAAAAAAAAAAAAAAAAAAAAGAACAGATTTTGAACATATTGTTACCACTGAATGGCCTCATAGGGTTGGAGAAAAAAAGCCTGAAATTTTAATATCGCTTGACCTTCATTTCCAGATTACCAGTACAATGTCTCTTACTAGGTCAAACTTAAGCAAGCACAAAATTCACAGCACTTTTATTTATATCTATTATATAAAATATTTTTTTTTTTTTTTTTTTTTTTTTTTTTTTTTTTTTTTTTGTGCCAGGGATCGAACTCTGGTTTGAGGCAGGAGGTGGAACCTCTGAGCTAAATCCCAGGC